GGATAATTTATTATCATGCTGGTGTTTTATCATCTTATCTAAGTTTGTACTGCCATGCGATGTCTTGTCATCCTTTTTTGTTGCTTTATCATCGTTGTTGATGTTTTGTCATTTTATCTGATGTTTTTTCATCTTGATTGTTGCTTTTGTCTTCTTAACTAAAAAATATAAACCAACCAAAATATATGAGCCGAGCTATGGCTGCTCTAATTTCTTAAAAGGGATACGTAGGCGGAGGTTTTTGTGAGGCCTAATCGAGCATATATTTGTAAATATTCCTTTCTTTTCCCCACACTTTCTTTTCCATTTTCTTTGCATGCATTCCCTTTTCAGCTTTAAGCCTTAGACATAGATTTTACACACCCATAATATAGACAACAAGAGTGGATACCATAGAGTACTACGGGCGTGTGGGGTTCTAATACCTTCCCCTCGCGTAACAGACTCCCTTACCCAATCTCTATGGTCGAAAGACCGTGATTTCATCTCTTTAGGTTTTCTCGATGTCTACCTTTCCTTTTCGGAGGGATAAAAGACGTTTGATGGCGACTTCATTGATATTTTATCAGATGATGGTTCAACTGGTTGTTTCATGGATGAGAGTTAAACCCACACCCTCAACCTCACAGATTATGCCCTTTACCACTGTGCTATGCTGTTTTTTGTGATTGAGAATAGGAAGCGCTCAACATACTATAAACATGTGTGTTAGTTTAGAAAAAACAAAATAATTTTGACAAAAGGATGGCTCGAGCCCACGCCATTTGCAATGTTATACAATGCCCTTACCAATTGTGCCAAACTGTTTTTTGTGTTATAGAATACAAACAAATCAATATATAATAAAAACGTTAGATTAGAGAAATGTCGGAGCCCTAGCTCCAGTCGTCTTCTCTGGTGGATCAAAAACCCTATCCTGCAAAAACACATGAGTTAGATCATAGCAGGGACCTTATCCCCCTAATTTGATGCTTGCTAATCCAATGGGGGCATTGGTTTGACCTGAAAATGCATGTGGAGTGAGTTTAAAAAAAAGTTTAAAACTGCCCTAACAATGGAAGATCTTTATTCCTGTGTCAAAGCTTGCAAACGATGGATCAAAATAGTTTCAAACATCATCATGAACACACATATATATATATATATATATATATATATATATATATATATATATATATATATATATATATATATATATATATATATATATATATATATATATATATATATATATATATATATATATATATATATATATGCATCAAATCATTAAATAATGCATATATTAAAAATTTGAAATTAAAGAAGTTTACCAAGCTGGCGATGTTGAGGGAGAGAGTTCTGGTGTGATTCAAGCATCAGTAAGGGCTGGATTGAACTCATGGGAACCTCAAGAAGATGATTTGATGCTTGAAATTGATTGAGAACGGATGGACACGACGATTTGAGGTTGCCCTAGTTTTGAAAATTTTGGAATTTTAGGGCTTGTTCTTGAGGCAACTTTTCGTGTTCTTTGATGTTTGAATATGTTGGGTATTTATAGAGGGAAGATTAGTTCAATAAAAGTGAGATAAATCTTTTGTATTTCATGATCAAATATTTGATTGGAATTTTGCATGAAAACTTTCCTTTTTAGGCCAATCTTATGCCAATCATCCTTACATGATTTTGCCAAGTTGTCATGAGCTTTTTGGGCTTCAAATCTGACTAAAACAAAAGTCCACATGCCTTGTATCATTTATTTGGTATTTTATTTGATTTATTTTAATTTTAATTGAATAAAATCAAAATCAAAATAAATAAAAATCACAAAGATACATGAATGGATTTAGAGGTCTAATATGAGGTCATGAACATGTTTGAACCTAAGAACTTAGGCCCATTAGACCAAAAATCCAAGTTTGCTCAATTTGAACTTCATGCATTTTCTCAAAACTTCTCAATTTGCACCAATCATAACTCCCTCAATTTTTCATTTGAGGCTTTTATCTTTATGTGAATTGCTTTGACAAAAAATGTCTTTTTGTTGACTTTTAAAATGACCTGTAATGTTTTGGCTCATATCTCTCAAATGAAGCATTTTCGGCTTTGAGCTTAGAGAGAAAAGTTGTAGAGAATTAAATTTCCTTCAAGTTAGGCTTTGGTTGACGAATTTCCGATGAAGTATGTGAAAGTTATGCTTGGTCAAAGTTTTGTTGACTTCTCCTAAAGAAAACCCTAATTTAGTATCTTTTGACTTTTGATGAATCTTGAGTTTTCTTGATGAATTATGATCAACCCTTTATCAAATGATGAATGTGACTTAAAAATATTAATGTTGACCAAAAATCTTGAAGTTTGACTTAAAATTGGTCAAAGTTGACTTTTTGTCTAATATAGTTAATTTTCAATCATCTGAGAAATTAACTGAGCAAACTTGTACTGCAAGGCTTGAAACTTGACATGGGAATTCTTTAAATCATATGAGGAACCATGAATTCCATTTGAGGCATTAGAAACTCAATTTCCTTTGAGAGAAGAAAAATCCTAGTTGTAGGTCAATTGCTTAGAATGGTGGTTTGTCTGGTCAACCCTTGAGTTGTCTTGAGTGTTTGAGACCTTCATGAGCATGAGGAGGTATCTTGAATCATTTTGTATTGAAAATGGGAGGACAAATTTTGGGGTACAACAAACACAAAAGGGAAAAGTTACAAGAAAAACTTCATCTCTCACACTCTCAACCGCCAGAATCATCACCGAGCCACTGTCACTCCTTCAGTGAATTGCTCTGACCTCAAGAACTACCTTCTCGTGTCGATCGCTCACTTTTCCTCCCACTCGCGGACATCCCTCTCGTGGCCATGTCCCTCGCCTCCAGACGTACTCCCTCTCCAATTTTCACAGCTGGAAAAATCCCACTTCCTCTGCAAGCTCCATGTGTTGTCGCCTGTAATACCCCAAATTTGTCCTACCTTTCTACTTTTATCTGGTTTATGCATTGTCGCGCTTTTCTCATGTACATGTCTCCATTAGGTCATTTAACATTGCATACATTCGCTAACAACATAACTTCGCAAGGGGTCGAGAACCTTCAGGATTAGGGTTTTATCAACTGGCTAAGGTGTATATGTTCAAATAGAGCCTGATTCTTCCGGTTATTTTTCAAGGCAGTGAAATTGCAGAATTAGGGTTTTGTGTTCATGGATGTTATGGATCTTTTCTTCATCAAGCCACAAGATCATCCTCCATTAAGAATTCATCAAACACAAGTTGATTAGGGTGTCACATCTTCTATGTTCGAATTTGTAGTATCTATCGACTGAGGTTCATTGGGCATCATATTACGTTTCTTTCTGTACTTCGAAGCGCCCTCAAGACATTGTTGTTGTCCATGAAGTCAAGATAAGTGTGGATTGGATTATAAAATGCAAGCCGTGTATATAGCATGAAGTTGTAAGTACATTGAGTTCGAAACTTCATCGTTCTTTTGAATACTTGTTACCTAAATCGCAAGTAACTTGGATTGCTGATGATTATTGAATTGGATTCATTGAAACTTCTAATTATGCTCAAGATTGATATTAGTTCAAGGTTTCAGTTTCGTGATTTGGCAATGGTTTATTCAAGATAAGGTTGGAAGATTCGTTCATGTGGTTCTCTTGGTGTACAAGTTATAAATTTGCAAAGAATTATAAGTCATAACATCATTCAAAGTTAATCAATTAGTTTTGTTCATCAAAACTCATCAAGATCCAAGGGTTCACGTTCATTCAACGATATGATCTTTACAAGTTCTAGGCATTACACATGATTTGTCAAAGGGTTATCCAAATTCATTCGAGGTCATAACCATGCAATTTACAAGCCTTGTCATTGGAGCATTACAAGAGAAGATTACAAAGGCCATTTACATCCAAGATTACTAAATCAAAACAAGAATTTACATTAAATCTTCAAGTGGTCTAAAGCTAAAGAATTCTAAATCGAGGTCTCCATCATTCATTTCTAAACTTATTCATCTTCAATCCATTATATTCCAAGATTTCTTTATTCCAACTTGGTTATATCCATGCCTTAGTCCATGCTTCATGCCAAAAGAAAACCTGCATAAATGACCATTTTCCAAGCAAGTTCAGTGCCAATGTATAATCAACTTAATTCAATTTGAAGTACAAAAATCAACAATTACACCAAGTGTTATGTACTTAAATCAACCCAATTTATCACATTCATAACACATACACTACACTCTTAACCAATTCCATAACAGCCCCTTAACTGTCCTAACCGAATTCTAGCTTTTTTTAAACTACTTTCCAACCTATAATCACTAATAAAAACTACATTAGCAAAAGCCCATAACAGATTTACAAACAACAAAACCATTTCCTAACTCCAACTAACTATCAAACAAAATAACTAACTTCTATAACAATAACCAAAACATAATTCTATAAACTCCTTAACCATAACAAACTCCTAACAAACTTCCCATAACAGAAGCATAGCAGAATAAAAATCAACTGTCAAACTGCTAACCAAAATAAAGCTCTAACTTCCAGTTCAGTTTTAATAGAAACTCTTAACAAACCCCAACCATCTCTAACTTCCATATAACCTCTATAACTGCTATCCAAAACAGAATTTTATAAACATTCCCTAACCATTTTCTAAAGAAGCCCTGCACAATAACAAACTTCAAACAGAATAACTAACCTCCCAACAGCTAACCAAACTTCCTAACAAATTCGTAACCAACTTTCCAATTCCCACAGATTTAACAGCATATGCATAACAGGATAATAAAAGAGAACATATTGCAGATATTTCCAGTAGATACTTTCACAAAGAGTTCACACAGAGGAGAGGGAGGGAAAAACAGAATATATAAAAGCAATTCTCACCTTGATCCTTCTTCAACCTTTTTCAAAAGAACTCACGAAATATCAAGAACTCCCTGAAGCTACCTCTCTCGACACCTACATCATCATCATCTTCCATAAAATCTGCAAGAACTTGATCTATCTCGACATCATGTTTGAGGCCTTCAACATCTTCACCCTGCAATCTTTATCTTCTCGGCCTTCCATCATAATCAATATACAACGACAACTTCCACAACATCGCGATGGCAATGCCAATATGCAATCAATGATAATTCCAGTAGCAGCAATTAGTAACAACGTTGCGTAGTAACAGAAGAAGGTAATCAAAACCATAAGAGGGAAAAATTCAGAAAGTGGAATAAGAAGGAGGCGGAAATACCTGGGATTCTGTTTCCTTTGGGTTTTATCGTTATCATCCTCATGTTTGAAGGAGCGCCAGACTCGTCTCCGGCGGGTAAGTCTCATGATCTCATCGCTTTCAATCTTCGATTTCCTCCATCTATTTCACGTTTCGATATAACCTGAGGTGTTCCCGTGCGTATTAGTTCGTCTCCATTAACTTAGGGTTAGGGTTCCTTCTTGATTGGATAGGACGAGGGTCAAACGGAACCGTTGAGTTGGTGGCCATTCACGACGGATAGGTGTCAGAGAAGAAGAGTGAGGGAATGAACGGGGCCGAAGAAGTTGAGATAAGATGGTGATGATTTCCCGATGGCGTCTGTGTTCAGAATAGAAAAGGAGTCGATCGAAGGCTGGAGTTATAGCATCATCGGCGGCGGAAGAAGGAATATGTAGAGAGGCTGGTGTTGATCGATTCCGCCGCTGAGTGAAAGAGAAGAGAGTGCTATTGAACCCTAACTCCCCAAAGTAACATCATATTATTTTCTTTTGTTTTTAATTTTTATATTTTATTATTATTGAAACATAATCATGCTGAAAAATAAAAAATATGAATACAATGGCTATGGAGTGGGCTTGTTATTCCTTAGATCGGATTGCATCTTGGCTAGGCCCGTTGGTCTTGTATTTTTGACATTGGGAAACCTTACACACACAAAAAAAAACTCTTCTTAGACTCAATATGGACGAGCCTAGTGTCTGGACCCTCTGGTTACACCCCTGGATTTGATCCTTACACCACCTTGTTCTTTGTAATTTTCACTTTAATTTTTTAATTTTTGCAATTAATTATTGATGATTCATTCATGATTTTTTGCTGAAATTTGGTGTGGATATTAATATGTTGATTCCTGACTTATTTATATTTTTTAATATTTTTTTCTATTAGCGTATGAATTAATCGAATTAGTGTTTAGTACATGATTAAAATTAAGATTTAACACGTTCTTGTCGATTTTGTATCCTTGATTCAATTTCCTTGGCATGATGAGTGGTTTAGAGGTAGGTTCTGATCCTTGAATAATGCCATGTTATTTATGATGTGTTTGTTCATTGTGCAAGATACGTTCTTTTTGCTTTCAATTATGTAACATAACAAGTAGTTAGGCGATCAAAGGATACGACTTATGCTCGCTTCTGATGCAACACGCTTTATTTCTCATTGTCCTGAGAAATTCATATCATATTATATGTTATCCTGATACATGTGATATTTTGTGATACTTTGCACAGTAACTTCTAGTCATGCGTTGCATTCGCAACACGCGTTTGCATTTATCTTAGTTGGATAGTGCTTCTGACTCTGTTTGTTTCTTGGTGAAGCTTGCTCGACGCGTACTCCCTGCTTTTTTAGTGCTTGCGTATGCTCTTGACAACTTGCTCACTTTGGTAGCCTCCGCTACTACTCTTGCACCTCATTTCACACTTTATTGCATTTCTTTACTTCTTGCTAATATTAGATAGAATTCCCTCGAGAACCCGAATCTTATGACCACCTATGCATAAGAACATTAGGTGTGGAAATAAGCTAGTCCCCTTTGACTCTTCTCTCCCTTTTTGTATATACATTTAAAACAAAAAAACTTCTTTCTCTTTCAAAATTCAAAAAACTTTAAAACTACTGATGAGAATCATGCATTTGCTTAGTGTGGGGAATGATAAGTGGGTCTCTTCTCGATCTTATTGTTCTTCATCTCAAGTTTAGGTGTGGTTCAATTCTCAAAAGACTCCTTTCATGACTAAGTAGAAAGGCGGATAATATCTCTCTCTTGAGGTCAATCAGTCATCATCTACAACAAAAATATAAACCAATTCAAATCTTTTGTGCGCTCGAGCACCTTTCTTTAAAAACCCTTTTCAGGTAAGGACATGATTAATTTACTTCTGTGCCAACGCATAAGTCTCCAAAGGTCGAGCTGCGGCAGAAGGCGGAATTAACTCCGTCCATAAAAAACACAAACGAACAAAAACATATGAGCCGAACTACAGTAGCTCTGATTCCTCAAAGCGGATACGTGGGCATTGGGGTAGGGCCCAAGTGAGCATAATTTTATTTTCCCTACATTTTCCCCCCTTTCTTTTGCATGCATTCTCCCTTCAGTAGTATAGTAAACTGTAAGCATAGATTAAACACACCCATAAGATAGACAACAATAGTGGATACCATAGAGTACTACGGGCGTGTGGGGTGCTAATACCTTCCCCTCGCGTAACAGACTCCCTTACTCGATCTCTCGGTCGCAAGACCATGACTTCTCCCTTCTCAGGTTTTATCAATGTTTACCTTTCCCTGCATATGGGGTAAAAGACGTTCGATGACGACTTCATTGTTTGATCATTTTCAGCCAATTGTTTCATCGCCTCTCCACCGAACCTCTCCACCGTGGTAACCGTGCTCTCTAATGGTGATCCTCCCGTACATCATGCAAGCTTCACGCGGACACTCCCTTCGCGGATTCTTCCGCCGTCTCTAGTCAAATTCCGGAGACTCTCTCCCTATTCTAATCGCAAATTTCTTGCCAGCATCTTCATCTTTATCTCCGATTCAATTCTTGCTTCTTGAAAATTCACATTACTACTTGAATTAAATGCTTAGTGATTAACTTATTATAGGTTAATTGCTTAATTAATTATTACATGAGTTGAATTCTTGAATATTAAGAGATGCTAGATTTTTAAATTGATAATGATGTTGAGATGTGGTATTGGATAAATGATTGTTGAATTTGTTTGAATCTTGAGATTTCAATTGTTAATTGATGATGACTTTTGATGTCGATTTATGTCGAGTTGTGGAATTTTAATGAGAATTGATGTGGATTTCTTGTGTTAATGCAATTTCAGATCAATTTGATGGTATCCTCATTTTTTCGACGTTAAAATGCTTTGATCAAATTTAATGCATGAACACTTGAATTATGTTGTTTGTGGCTTGGAGTCATTGTTTGCAAGCAGAATTAATTGTTACAAAGTGTTTTTAATTTCTAAGCGACAATACATGAATCGGTGAACATTTTTGTGTAACTGTTGTGAGTTTTAAACTGGTTTTTGTCTGATGGCGATACATGTATATGTTTATGCTTGGATATTACAAATGCCTTGTAAATTGATTTTCAAAAGTTTTTTGATGCTTACTTGAACGTGTTTATGCATTCATGGACCGTTGGTGTTAAGTTTTATCGTTTTCGACATAATTTCTGAGCGATTCCATGTGACAGTGTAATGCTTCCCGGTTTGATAAGTTAGTGCAAACATGCAAATTAATTGTTATGTTTGGGATAAGTGAACTTGCTTTGGATTTTTTTTGGGATTGATATCAAGTTTGCTCGATTTCGGATCAACATTTTGTGAGGTTCATGTATTAACGACAATGCTTCCCGGTTTTCGATGTTGATGTTCCAATGCTTATTTGGATTGTGTTTCTTTGCAATTTAATCTTAATTTGATTTGTGATGTAGATACTTGGTTCCGATTATGCCTCATTGTTATTACTAATGTGTTTTTTGACTTGTGCAAGACATTTCAAGATAGTTTTCAATCGTGTAATTAAGTCTTGATTATTCTATTGAAAATCATTTGTATTCCACTCCTTTGTGGATTTGAGTTCGCTACTGACGAGTTTGATTGTTGATTATTATTCCATGAAATACATATACATTTTTATTTGTCTAGATTTGTATTTCATACAGGTTCATTGATTGATATTAGGATGCGTCTCACACACATTGTCCTTGTGCTTTATGGTTGCTTCGACACATATTCTGACTATTTGTTGTTGATGCTAGCTTGCACGAAGTTTTCTGGGTTTCTCTGCTTTTGTTTGCTTTCTACGAACTCTTGTTCATTTGGTATTATACTGATTCTAGTTTATTTTCCATATTACTTACCGCTTTCCTTGCCATGAGAAGTAGGAATAGAGATAAATGACTGGGAGTCCCTATATTAAGTTGGCAAATCTATTTAAAGTCCTCAAAGGAGGTGATGTTTTTTTTCCAAATCCATCAAAAAGAGGCCATGTTTGTGTTTGCTTGTGTGAAAAATACCTCGACAAAGGAAAATCTCATTCCCCTCCGATTTCCCTTTTATTTTTTGCTTGCTATCGAGTCAATAAGTGGAACAAAGGGTCCGTAATCGACCCCCACATTTTCTAGTCCGTGTCGTTCTCAGCTCACATCATATGTTGATGCTTTGAACTATGCCCATTCTTGTCCATTGAGTCAAATAAAGTGGAAAAGGGTCCATAACCACCCCCCACGCTTTCTCATTCATTTCGACGATGTTATCTCACGTTTCTTCAAATGTTGACGCTCCGAGTAGCTACTCGATGTTGATACTCAAGCAAATCAAGTGGAAAGAGTTCCTTACTCCCACTTTTAGATCCATTGGACTTTTTTCTTGTTGTTCCCTCACACTCAATTTTGTTTTAGTTTTGGTTCGACTTTGTTTGACTGCACTTATGCTTGTCTATTTCTTTGCACCTTTGTATGTTCCCTTAGGATTAACTTGTTTCGCTTCTGATGCAAGTTATACATTAGGATTGTAATCCATGTATGCTAACATAGGTAGTGTTTTCCATTTCAAACTCAACCTTAGGACCATCATTGTATGATAACATTAGGGATAGAGATAGATAGTTTCCCTTAGATGTTTTTCTTTCACTTTTTCATGATTAAGACTAAAACTCTTTTCTTGGCAAATCCATAAAACATTTAACATTTCTTAAACCCTTTTTCAATGTAAAAAACACTAACCAACACAAACCTTTTTGTCTTCAGACTTTTTCTTTTAAAACCTTTTCAAAATGGACGTGCTTCGATAGCATTGTCCATAAAAAAACCTGCAACCAACCAAAAATTTTGAGCGGAACTACGACACTCTGATTCCTTGAAAGGGATACGTAGGCATTTGGTCGCGGTACCCAGGCGAGTGAAACTTTATAAATATTCCTTTTTTCCCCGTGTTTACTTTTGCATGCATTCCCTCTTTTCATTTTTTCCTTAGCTCGTAAGCTTTAGATTAGAACACACCCTTTGATTAGAACAACAAAAGTGGATCCCATGGAGTAC